ACTGAATGAAGTAGAGAAGAGAATTCCTATCTTATATAATAAAAGGCTAATATGCAAATTGGCTCCTCAAGGAGTTAGGGAAGACCGGGACTTCAATCGCTTGCTATGACATGCGCTGACCACCATGAGGCAGCACAGAACATGGCAGGCGACCAGCGGTGGGAGGGCACTGAGGGAGAGAGGGAAGGAGGAGGCAGGGAGACGAGGAACCTGATCGACCCTGATCGTTGGCCCGATCCACCTGTGCATGGATTTCATGCACTGGGCCTCTAGCATTCTATAATGTTAAAATATGTACTGACTTTATTTCTTTTGAATCCCCTTATTCATTTCCATGGCTTCCTTGGTGATAAAATAAGGAAGGAAAGTAGAAAGCATTAGGGAAATCCCAAAGTGAGGCGCAGCCTGGGTGGGTGGCGTGGCCAGGGGATCCATTGTTGCTCATTCAGAGGAGGAGAGACGTGTTCTAAGAAAGTGGGACCAGTTGCTTTGGTGACAGGCTTTTTCCCAAGGGTGGGAGAGAGATAGACTTGTAGACTTTTACCTTTTTGTCTTTGTCCCCACCATTCCCAGTGCCCCTGGGTTTTTCCTCACACTTTTCCTGAGGACTTTCAGCCTGGCTCGCTATGCCTTCCCACCCCGCCTTTCCGCCCTCACACCTCCCGGCGTCTGAAAACGGAAAGCTGCGGATGCTCTCTGGAGAGATGCTGTTCTCTGTGTGGGTTGACAAGTTCAAACGGCTCTCTCCTGCTCTCCACCCTCACTGTCATTATTTATCAGCTCCATGGCCCACAGTTTTATAACAGCACAGCCTCAAAACGTTCCTGCTAAGTTTGATTTCTCTCCCTGTGGCCTTTTAAGGACGTGAATTGGCTTCCAGCAGTAGATTCCTTTTCGTACGGTCATGGGAGCGTCTCTGTACGTCTGCTACACCCATCCCACATGCAGGTCCGAGACTCGTCTGTTTCCCTTTCCCCTAAAACTTAAAATATAGTCTTAAGAAGTGATTGCACTGTGACTTATTCATATAAGCCTGGCCCGCCCCCCGTGACGTAGGCTTCCTTGCAAGAATTTGCTAGCTGTTTCCAAAAGGAGTTCTGTGTCTCTATTTTTAAAGCAGAAATTCTGTCTTAGCTTTGGAGAACTGGTTTGGCTTGAGTTTTTCTCAGACGTGGGAACTTTTGACCCAAGGTCGGCTTTTCAGATGGTTGAACAAGAACTCAGAGGTCCCGAGAACGGACAGATCAGAACGGGGTGAAGTTCCTAGAGCAGTACAGACTCCTGCCTACCAGCCATGCAACCTTGGCGTGTGTCCCTCAGCTTCCTCATCTGTAACGCAAGAGGATTAGAATGGATAGCCTCCCAGGGATGCTTTGATCCCACTGATTAATAGTAATAGCAAATAAATGTAGAACACTTGCTATGCATCAGGTACTGTCTTAAGTGATTTTTTCCTCAATATAAGAGCTTTATGGAGATAATTTGCATACTGTATAATGTGCTCTTTTAAAACATAAGGTTCAGTTTTCTTTAGTTAATTCACAGGTATGTGTAACTATCACCATAGTCAACTTCATCACTCCAAAAGAAACCCTGTACCCATGAGTAGTCAGTCCCCACTTCCTACAACCCCGTCCCAGCATTAGGCAACTATTAATCTAATTTCTGTCCCTATAGATTTGCCTGTTAGGGACATTTTATAGAAATAGAAACACAAAATAGGTAATCATTTGTGATTTGCTTCTTTCACTTGATGTTTTCAAAGTTCATCCATGTTGTTGGAGGTATCAGTACTTCATTCCTTTTCGTGGCTGAATAATATTCCATTGTATGGATTTACCACATTTTATTTATTCACTCATCAGTGAATTGATGTTTGGACTGCTTCTGCTTTTTTGCTACTATGAATAATGCAGTGAGGAATATTCTTGCACAAGTTTTTGTGTGGACATATGTTTTCATTTTTCTTGGCTATCGATACATACTTAGGAGAAGAATTACTAGGAGATATGGTAACTATTTAACCTTTTCAGGAGCTCCCAGGCTGTATTCTAAAGTGGCTGCACTATTTTACATTTTAACCAGCAGTGTATGAGGTTTCCCAATTTCTCCACTTCCTCACCAACACTTGTTATTATCCATCTTTTTTATTATCACCATCCTAGTGGGTGTGAAGCAATATCACACTGTGGTTTTGATTTGCATTTTCCTGATGGCTGATGATGTCAAGCATCTTTTCATGTGCTTATCAGCCATTTGTTTATCATCTTTGGAGAAATGTTGATTCAGATCCTTTACCCATTTGTAATTGGGTTGTCTTCTTCATATTATATATGTTGTATTTTCATTATACATGTGAGTTTTTAATAGATCCTATATACACATCTCTTATCAGATATATGATTTGCAAATAGTTTTTCCCATTCTGTAGGCTGGCTTTCCACATTCTTGATGGTTTCCTCTGAAGCCCAAATGTTTTTAATTTTGGTGACATTCACACTATGCTTTCTTTTGCTTGTGCTTTTGGTCATATTTAAGAAAGCTTTACCTAATCCAAGTCACAGAGCTTAACTCCTAAGTTTTCTTCTAAGAGTTTTATAATTTTGACTCTTACATTCTGAGTTAATTTTTGTGCATGGTGTGAGGAAGGAGTCCAACTTTATTCTTTTGCATGTCGATATTTAGTTGTTCCAGCACCATTTATTGAATTAAGGTGTTTTGGTTTTTTTTAATATCTAATAATTTAATCTTTACAACATCCCTTTGAGGTAGGTCCTGTTAATTCCCCCAGAGGAGGAAGGTTTTGCACTTTTCCATGTTCACTCAGGTATTGCCTGGCAGGGAGGAGAGGGGACCCAGGCAGTTTGGCCTCAGAGGCCACGCTTTAGCCATGAAGTTCTCTTTCAGTTCTCTCCTTCTACCTGTTGGCAGGGAAGAACTACCTCAAAAATAGTCAGTCATACAAAGAGAACATTTTCTTTCTCATATGTTGTGGTTATGCTGAAATGCTTCTGCTTTCTTAATTTGTCTGTGGCTGGTGAATTCAGTTAGTTGTAGCATTGGCTTGTATGAATTCAGGGTCACAGTTTCCAATCCTTATAGTTTGCCTACATCTCCCTGACACCCTAGTCAATAATATTTAGTCTTAGTCACCGGAGAGATCAAACGAGGGGGAGATGGCCGTTGCCCGTTCTAGAACCTCTGCAACCCGCACAAGTTCTAGCAGCGGTGGGCCAGGGGCCCGGTGGCCCTCCCACACTCTAAAAAGGAACCTCTCACTTCTCTCAAGACTGTTTCCATTAAGAGCACCGGACTGGGAACACAGACCTCAGTTCTTGTCCAGGGACCGCTGCTTGGCGGAGCTGCAGATCTGCCCTCACTTTATCATCACATTCTCTGACTCGGCCCTTTTGTAAGATGGCCATAGGAATTAAACAGATAGATGAGTAACATGATACATTTGTACACATCTGAGTCTGTAAACATTTTCATAGTCTTTCTCAAGTTTACTTTGTGATTCATCCGCTTGAATGGTCTGAGTACCAAATACAGAGAGGCCCAGAATTATTCTCAGTCAAGCTTTCATTCATCCCTGTCTTTTCTGAGGTGATTTCTGTTGGTCTCTGGGAGATCACTTTGGCCACTGGATCTGTCCTCACGTACATGACTGCCACTACATCCAGAGAAACATCCGGCGTAGCAGAGCAGATGTAGGCTGACCACCACAGTAGCTGGTGGTAAAATGAACGAAGCGAGATGTGATTGATGTCTTTCCCAGCCACCAGCCTGTGAATGCCCCGAAAGCAGGGACTCTATCTCTTGCACTCTCCGTAGCATCCCCAGTGCCTCGTATAGGACTCAGTAAGTGTTTTGAGTGTGAGAGAGGAACCTTAAGGAACATTTTGAAGAGGCCAAGTACATAGTCATACTGTATTTCAAGTTGAACAATGCTTAGTGAACATCCTCTCCTTTTAGAACTGCTACCCTGTTTCCCCGAAAATAAGACGGTGTCTTATATTAATTTTTTCTCCCAAAGTTGCGCTAGGTCTTATTTTCAGGGGATGTCTTATCTTCCCATGCGCTATGTCTTATTTTCGGAGGATGTCTTATTTTCGGGGAAACACAGTAGTATTCTAATAGTTAAGGGATTTGGTAGGAAAGGGGTGGGGGGAGCCCAATATATAAATGACTGTGGTTAGTTGGGGTGCTAGTTTCATTTTTCATAAAGGACTAAAATCAAGAGGAAGGAAGTAATGCTATAAATGTAGAGAGGGGAGTGAAGAATTTGAAGGGTTGGGAAGTTTAATTAGTAAGAATTCCATCCCATTTGAAGATAGCTTTTTATATTCCTTTTGCATTTGGCTTGTCATGTGGCACTTATAACAACCTAGAAAAGCAGGCCAGACAGGTGGATCAGCCTCATTTTACAGACAAGGAAGCTGATTTGGAGTTAGGAATTTACTACGTGTTAAGTAGCTTATAGGTAGTGAGGTTGGAACTTGAGTTATATCTTCAAATAGAAGTATTTTTCTTATGCCTTTCACCCCCACCTAGTTTTCCCAAACAATCATCCCACGGAGGGGAAAAGGAATTGAAATCTAATGAGATAAGCTTTTATCTGTTCTTCTCATTAATCTAGCATGGAGCTGGGGTAACTCTAATATCCTTTTTTTAAAGAGCCAGTAAAAAGCTGTCCCAAGTAGAGATTTATCTTCACTGGGCTTTTATTTCATGAAACACTTTGAAATACTTATGAGGTAACTGTGAAAGCATGCCATTGGCATAATGAGTCACTCCAACTGTCTAGCTATGCTGGAGGCAAGAGAAGGCAGAAGATGGGGGACTTTTGTTAATGGAGAGAGCCCTGGGTTGAGCAGCTGCTGGCTGCTGAGCTGAAATAGTGAAGTAGGGCTGTTCCATGACCGACCGTGTCCTGCCGGAAGAGAGAGGTCATTTCTTCCGCATTGAATTCATCCTTTTCTCTTTCTCTCTCTCACCAGGTTTTGAAGGCAGCACCTGTGAGCGGAATATAGATGACTGCCCTAACCACCGATGCCAGAACGGAGGGGTTTGCGTGGACGGGGTCAATACCTACAACTGCCGCTGCCCCCCTCAATGGACAGGTATGTACCACGTGATGAGTCAGTCGGCCAGGCAGGGGCACGGATTGGTCACCGGAGGCAGGCTGTTCTAGAAGTAGGCACCTTTCACCAGGGTCTCCGTGTGAGATCATTGTGCTGACCACCTGCGTTCTCCTGTGTTCACTTAAAGAAATGTGTCCACAGGTACTTCCTGGCGTGGCTCTGAACTCAGCACTGTGCCAGCTGCCGGGGCAGCTGTGAGAGAAGAGCATCACTGACAGACTCGGGGGTTAATCTGGGAAAAGCAGCACATTGCCTGGGACATAGTAGATGCTTAATAAATGTCTGAGAGGAAAGGAACATGCTTAACTGTAAAGACATACATGTTTTTATCAAACACACAAATGATAGCTATCAGTATGTGAGGTAACGGATGTGTTAACTAATCTTATGGTGGTAAATATTTGCAATATCTATGCACATCAGGTAATCACATTGTGTACCTTAAACTTACACCATGTTATATGTCAGTCATATCTCAATAAACCCAGGGAGGAGGTTACAACTTGTCAAATTTTGATACCATATCAAAGAATATTCATAATTATATGGAAAGGCTATTAGAATATTCCTCTTCCAACTTAAAAAAAAAAAAGTGCAAGTTATAGAGACCTCAAGAGTTCAGAGTTATTGTTTGGTCACAGACAGAACTCCATCTCATCTTATTGTTGTGTTCTGTAATTATGCAAAGGACTGGGCAGTTGCTCTTGAGACATTTTTTTAACACCCATTTACATTTCTATTTTTCCCTCTTTCGTATCCTTTTTGCACACAGGACAAAAATAGACTTATTTTTTTTTTTTTTTTTTGCCTCCGATATTAGAAGAATACCTTGCTTGATTTTCCAACCTCTTGGAAGTTTCTGATACTGTCTTAGGCAGATTTTCCACTTCTGTTTGAAAGCTCAGTGACTTTTTGCAGACATTCAGATCCTGTTTCTGTTTATTTATCTAACTGAAAGTGGAGACAATTAAGAGCTGATTAAGGGATTAAGAACTGAGCCTTTTTTGAGTTAAATTGATTGAGTTAATGTGGAAACCCAAGAATAAGTTATGATATAAAGAAGAAACTACAGTACCCGTAAGGGATGGTGCCCAGCAGAGAAATCTTGATGTTGGATTACCGCCAACCCCACCTGGTATTTAGTGCTAAGAATTGCTTTCCCTTATCTGCAGCAGCTAATTAGTTAGAGTACTTTTTAGAGCTTGTAGACTATGAGTAAAAAAAGGTTAAAAGGGTTTAAAACTTCCATAACACAATTTCCTGGAAAGGCAGGCATTTCTGCTTTTAATCCCCAAAGTGTCCATTTTTAATACTTTCCCACTGGGTTTCCTAGAATTGGATTTCCCCTAGAATTTCTGCTTGATGTCTCGAGCCTACGCCTTCACTCCCAAACCTCTGCTCTTTCTGTCTCCTTCTCTCTTTTAGCTTTTGCCATTTCTCTGGTAGATTTTTCAAAGGCCATTTATTTTCATCTTAAAAAATTACTATGAAGTTCATTCCATGACAGTAATTGGAAAGATTTGAATTTTTTCTCTTTTTTCATGTCCCTCGCAGTGGTATTGGGTGAGATGAGATGCTTATTAGGGACTTGGCCCCATTCTCTTCTCCCCCTTGCCCTGCGGGAGAGGGGCTCCCTGCGCTTCTAAGCTCTGAACAGCCAAGATGATGTGATACTGTGATTTCGTTGCTGATTTTTCTTTGATACCACACTCGGTTTCCTGCTTTGATGTGAAATAGGAAAACCCAATCATGGGGGAAATTTTCCCAGTGAAATGATAATTTACCAACATTTCTTACCCCGGGATGTTTATTCCTCTTTTCTATGAAGGTCCTTGTAAGAGGCTTTCTTTCTCCATGTGTTCTTGTGTTTCTAGAAAAGATGGCAGAAATGATGGGTAAACCCAATGTGGCGATCTTTATTCATTTAAAGTGACCCCTGATTTGATTCCTTTGATTTGTTTGATTTCTCACCACAGTTTTACTTCCTCTATGTCACTCCTCCCAATTCTTGGGTTTCCAGGGACAACCTTGTTGTTTGCTCTCCTCCCCACCAACAGGATGAAGTCCAAGGTTCTCCCACTTCACATGAATTAAGTCCTTCCTGGCCTCAGCCCTATACTAATCTGTTCTGCTTTATACAACCTAAAGAAATGGCTGGGGCCGGGGACTGAGAGTTAACTAATGTCTATTAGCACCCCAATAAGCGCTGATTGCAGTTTTATTTTGTGTAAGCTTTGCAGTAATGGTATGAGCGGTAGAGTTTATGAAATATCCTTTTTACGGATGATGACGATGGGTCTCGGACGAGCTAAACATTTACTCAAGGCACATAGTGGTTCGGCTATAAGTTGAACCTAGGCTTATTGAACTCCAAGTCTGCTCAATCTGTGTCCTTTCCTATGCAAATTTACTCGATGGGTGGTCTTTTACATTTTTTTATTTTAAAAAACTTTTATTCTTTTTAATTGAAAGTTTAATTTATAGTTATATTATTCTAGGATATAGTGCTTGAACTCTGTATGTTTCCTTTTTTAAACTTTACCTGTTCCTTTGAGATTCAGAATGAATATGAAGTCAATGTTTACTATTTAGTCTGGTTGTTTTTTTTCATCATACCCAAAAGCTTTATTACAACTTCGTTCAGAATTCCCTTTACAATTTCCAGCGGTAGAGTTTAAGCATGAACTGTTTTGTCTGGCTTTTGACAAAACAGAAAAGGAAGGGTTGGAGTAGGTTTCCAGGAGAGGGAATGAAGTTGCCAGCGATCTGGAAAAGAATGGATGGGATTGTGGAGCTGAAAGACTTGGTATCAGTTTGAAGTAAGCGGAGATTTGGGAATCTGCCATGTTTTTAATGCGAAGAGCCTGGTATGTCCTGTGTTGGATGTGCACAAACATGGAAGGCTTGGTCTTCCATAGCAAATCTCAGGCTTCACATGACCAGAGTTTTCCCAAGCCTGTTTGCGGTTTGATTTTTAGTGCTAAGCTTCCCCCACCCGCTTTTTTTTTTTTTTTTTAATATATTTTATTGATTTTTTTTTACAAAGAGGAAGGGAGAGAGCTAGAGAGCTAGAAACGACGATGAGAGAGAAACATAGACCAGCTGCCTCTTGCACACCTCCTACTGGGGATGTGCCCGCAACCAATGTACATGCCCTTGACCGGAATCGAACCCGGGACCTTTCAGTCTGCAGACCAACTGCAGACCACTGAGCCAAACCGGTTTCGGGCCCCACCCCTTTTTTTTGACGTCTTTATTTGTCAACTGTAGAACTAATATCTCTTAGTTACTTTATTGGGGTATTGGGTGCAATAAAAAGCTTTTTTAGTTTATACTCAGCAAACAGTGATCTTGTAAAACATTCTGAATTCTGCTGTTTGATATGGTAGCCACTAGACACACCTGTTGCGGCACAACTGAACAATACTGATTTTTTTTTTTTTTTAAGTAAAATGTCTCATGAATAATGTTTTAAATATTTATTAGATGCTAAAGTGATGTTTTAGCTACAAAGAGTTAGATAAAATATAACATTAAAGTTATTTTTATCAGTTTCTTTTACCCTAAAGTGCCACCAGAAAATTTAAAATTACATCTGTGGTCCTAGCCAGTTTGGCTTAGTGGGTAGAGCATTGGCCAGTGGACTGAAGGGTCCCAGGTTCGATTCTGATCAGGGACACATACCCAGGTGCAGACTCGATCCCCAGCGGGGGGCTGCAGGAGGCAGCCAATCAAGGATTCTCTCTCATCGTTGATGTTTCTGTCTCTCCCTCCCACTTCTTCTCTGAAATCAATAAAAAATATGTTTTTAAAAATGACATATCTGTCTCAGCGGCAAAGATGTCCTTTGGTATTTCCATTGCTGCTACCGTGTAGGTGTATCCTCTTTGATCCTGGTAGGCAGAGGATGGGCTTATGCTGTCCTCACTGGAAAAAAGCGTGGTGGCTGTGCTGTGGTGCGGTTCCCCCATCAGTAGTGGGCAGGACTGATTTCTAGTCCATCACAGGACCTTTTTACTTGGTGCGACTCTCTAGGCTAGTATCTGAGGCTAGTATCCATTTATGCCTTTAAAAGCTACCACCCGCCAAAACCGGTTTGGCTCAGTGGATAGAGCGTTGGCCTGCGGACTGAAAAGTCCCAGGTTCGATTCCAGTCAAGGGCATATACCTTGGTTGCGGGTACATCCCCAGTAGGGGGTGTGCAAAAGGCAGCTGATCAATGATTCTCTCTCATCAATATTTCTAACTCCCTGTCCCTCTCTCTTCCCTCTCTGTAAAATATCAATAAAATATATTTTTAAAAGCTACCACCCTTCTGAACAAGCTAAAACCAGGCAGAGGAAAGAAATGGAATTGGACAAATGATTTCGTTTTTCATCGGTAGATTGTCATGGAGCTAGTTCCCTTTACGGAATGGAAGTATACCCGAGGGTCGGACAGAGCCCGAGCACACGTGTTTTAACTGTTCCTGTATTTGGCCCCAAGCCATCTGCCATCTTCTGAGAGAAGGTCTGCTCTGGCCGATAGCCACCTAAGAAAACAAAAGTTATGAAAGGCCCCCAAATTCACCACGGCAGTGCAGATTAATGTTTTGTCTGCGTAGATCGCTAGTTGGATTTTCTTTTTAAAGGTTCATTTCCTTCAGAATTAAAGTTGCCTCTAAACCCCGCTCACAAATTCCTCTCTGGCAGCTTTTGGTTTTGGGTTCACTCCTAGGGCAGACGTGATTTATTTTCCTGTGCTTGTTATTAACCCAGAAAAGTAATTTCAGCTCGGGCTTGGAATAGTGCTTTGGGACATTGAGCAGAAGGGAACAATGGAAGTGAGGTGGGACGTGAGTCTAATAAAACTGACCGCGTCGTCTCTCAGCCCCTTTATAACACGATGAGCCCGAAAGTGGGCTCAGACTCCCTTTGCTGTTGGCTGCTCCAATTTCGGTAAACTTTTTTGGCACGAACCAGCTAGAAGCATACCACCAG